GGGGATGCGGGGCCCACCTCACAGCCCAGTACGAGCTGGGAGCCAGGCAGGCAGAGTGCGTTGTCCAGAAAGGGCAGCAGCCCATCTCCAAACAGCTCCGAGTTCAGCTAATAACATGTGCATGTGCTTAAATCATTAACTGGAAATGAGATGAAAATTTCATTAAACCAAATACCATTCAAATGTCCACAGAAGAGTCAGGGACACAGAGGAGCCATATGCTGGCACTGCCCACACAGACCACTCAGCTCCACACAGCACTGGGAAGGCCTGTGATACATTGTTCCAGAATGGAGCCTCCACTGCCAGCTATCCCCATGGCGCTCAGAGGCAGGAGGAAACCCTTCCAGTTTCTTCCCACTTCCTTCAAATGGTGACTTTAAAACTCCTTTAAAATCCCCGAGTGGCCCAGCTCCCTGGCATGTGCGAGCCTTCACCGTTAAGAGCCCTTTCCAGAAACTTCCAATAAGACGTTGCATCTTCCCAGCCTCCATGGTGAGCCCCAACCCCAACTCATGTCACCACCTGACCCCTTCACAGCAACCCCGGAAGGGGCAGCTCCTGACCAGAAAGCTTCTCTGTCCCTGAAAAGGACGGGACGAAGAAATGCATGTTGGGGTCACACGGCGCTCTTGCAACTGGGATTGGAGGGTTGGAGCTAAGCCTCCCCCAGGAAGGAAACCAGGCAGGGGCCAAGCAGGAAATGCACACAGGGGGTGCCACACTCTTCCGCGGCACCAGGACCCAACCCAGAGATTCCTCCTGGAGCACCCCAGGACCATGGGGGGGGAAGGATCCCACCTGGAGCGCCCCAGGACCGTGGGGGGGAAGGATCCCACCTGGAGCGCCCCAGGACCGTGGGGGGGAAGGATCCCACCTGATGCGCCCCAGGACCGTGGGGGGGAAGGATCCCACCTGGAGCGCCCCAGGACCGTGGGGGGGAAGGATCCCACCTGGAGCGCCCCAGGACCGTGGGGGGGAAGGATCCCACCTGGAGCGCCCCAGGACCGTGGGGGGGAAAGGATCCCACCTGTTGCACCCCAGGACTGGGGGGGCGGGGACAGATATCTGCCTTGAGCACCCCAGGACCTACTCCAGCTGGCAAGGAATGTCTGGGCCTAAGGTTTGCATTTAAGTCCAAAAAACTTTTTTTAAAACTTTAAGTGGAAAAATTGGAGGTAAAAGTAAGCGTCAGGAGAAAACGTTATGTGTATAGCTTCATAAATCAAAGTCAGTGTTTGCTCATCAACAACTTGGTTTTTATTGACAACTTCTGAGAAAATGGACTGTGTCTTCCCAAACCACAGTCTCCTTCCTGTCCCTTTCAGATTCAGCTTCTCCATCCTCAAAGCTGTGGCTGGAGCTCTTGAGGTCTTCCCTGGTTTGGTCATTCCTACCACACTGCAGTGCTGTTTTCTGAGCAACCTGCATCTTTCAGGATGAGTAGAAAGACGCCCTCATGTCACAGACCCACGTGCCCTTTGACTTCCAAGTCCGAAGTGTACACCCATCTCGCTTCCAGCATCTTTCGATGGGGACGTTCTCAGCAAGAACGACAGGGTGTGAAGTGCTGTAAGCACGCCCATGCCAGCCAGCGTGGTGTTGAGCTAGCTCCTCCTCACTTTGCTCCAGAAAGTGGTTATTTTACTGTCTAACTTCTAACTTGATGTAAAAAAGCAAAGCCAAAAACATGCAAACAAAAGAACAAAAATACCTCTCCAGAATCGCACTGTCCCTCCCCTGCAAACAACTACATTGACATTTACGTCCACATGTTCCAGACCGTTTGGGGAACAAAAGGAGACCCTACAATGAGCACAGCTCTGGGACCCGCCCGCAGCACAGCGGACGCCACCACGCCGCACGGGGCAGCAGCTCCCAGCCGGACCGTGCGGAGCCGCCAGGGCCCAGCTCTGCAGGAAGACAAGAGGGGGCCGCGAGGCAGGGCCCTGCGGTCGGTCCCTCCCCCGCCAGATGGCAAGGCCAAGGAAGGCAGGCGAGGGGAGCCAGACGGTGGCTGCAGGAGGGCCGTCCTGGAGCAGCCGTGGGGACAGGCTTAGCACAGCACCTCCCCCCCCCCCCACCAGGGCTGCCAAAAGGGAAGGCGCGGCTCCGATCAGGAGCCTCTCCTGCCAGGAGCTGCTCACACGTTCTGTGGGAACAGGGAGGCAATGTCGTCCTCGTAATAACCATGTACACTGACAAAGAGATGAAGACACTAGTACTTTGTGGAATATTCTTGCAAATGAGTGGGCTAACCCAGCACTTAAGAGGTCTTGTTTTTAGCTTCCTTTGTGTCGGCACCATCAGTACGCTCCTTTCACTGGATAAAATGGTGATTTCCCCCAGGGTACCCTTCCCCACCCCTGCTGCGCAAGCAGGAGGTGACCCTCCCGGACAGGCTCTCGGCGGACGCCCCGTGCTGTCCGTGACCTTGCTGGTCCAATGTCCTGGAGCCTTTAGTTTAAATAAACAGTAAGCAGATAATGAGGTGCCATTTAAGTGATGACACAATCACAACCCTAAAAAGTTACACATGAACAAAGTTCATTCTCAACACCAGCAAGGTATTTCCCGAGTAAGAAAGAAACTTTGCCCAAAACCACCCTTTTGGAGGAAAGGGCTCGTTCGCTCCTACAAGCAGTTCTGCAGGCAACACTCTCCCACCCCCGCTCTCCCACATCAAAGGGAAAGAAAAAGGAAAGAGAAGAACAAGCCGGGGCCGCTCCCTAAGATACTGGCTGAGTAATCACTAGTGAGGTGGCAGACATGAGTACTGGGGACACAGTGTGGTCACAGCCCACTGCCGCCCAGGGGACAACCACCCACTGGTGAGGAGGAGGAGGGAGATCGGTGTCCCCTTCTCCCTCACACATTGGGTCTGCACTTCCTGCTGAGTCCAAAGACATGCTGTGCAGCAGCTGAGCTCGAGGCTGACCCTGCCCCAGAGGCCGTGGAAGCCACAGCTAGAGCGCCATGTCCCTCCACGCTGCACGCGGCCCGGCCAGGCTGGAGCGCCATGTCCCTCCATGCTGCACGTGGCCCGGCCAGGCTGGAGCGCCATGTCCCTCCACGCTGCACGTGGCCCGGCCAGGCTGGAGCACCATGTCCCTCCACGCTGCACGCGGCCCGGCCAGGCTGGAGCGCCATGTCCCTCCACGCTGCACGTGGCCCGGCCAGGCTGGAGCGCCATGTCCCTCCACGCTGCACGCGGCCCGGCCAGGCTGGAGCGCCATGTCCCTCCATGCAGCACAGGGCCCGCCAGGCCGCCAAGCCTTTTGGCTCTTTGAGTTCAGAGACCAGATGGAGGCTCTTCATTTCCCGGTGACTTTGCCAAATGAAGGACTGGATCTGAGAGGAAATGCTGAACCTGGTGGAAGGGTGCTGGGGTTGCAAGATGTCACGGCCATGGCACGTGAGGTGAGACTTCCTTGGAGTGACGACTTCCCCTGAGGTGTGGCGGCTAAGCCCTGCCCACACTGGAGACCTTCCTCATCGCCAGCTCATGGCCCAGTGTGCCCACTTCCTTCTGTCTTGCAGCCGCCATTGGAGTCTGGGCCTTTATCCTCTGGCCTCGATACTGGCAGAGGCCTCTGGACAGGTCTTCTGCTCCTGGGCTCTGCCCTCCAGCCAAGGCCACTCAAGCCGGAATCTTAAAATAGCACCTTGTTCCAGCTGCTCTCCCGTATGGGCTCCTACCGTCCTCTCTCCCCTCACCATGGGAACCCTCAGGAGGCACGTTTGGACACCATTCGGTCTGTTTGGTCCCTAAACGTCTCCTCATCTCTCCTTCGCATTTCTTTGTGTACTTGGGGTATAGCTCAAGTATGCCTTCTAGTTTATCAATTCTCCCTTCAGCTATAGCCCATCAGCTATTTATTTGTCCACAGACTCCTCAGGCTTTTCACTCTCCTTCCACCGAGTACTGCAGAGAATCACGCATGAAACACAACCACGCGCACTTGGCCCTGAGCGCTGATGGCGCCAGAGCAGATGGAGAGCGAGAGGTGTCCCCAGGTTTCAGGGCCAGGAGATCCTCAACAGTGTGTAAACATTAAATTCAGTCAGGGGTCTGGATGCATCGTTTGTTCCCACTTCAAGGAGCAGCACGCAGGACAGAATTCATGTGCTAAAAATGTTCTCAGATCCCAGCTGTGTGCAGGGACCCCCACAACCCGTAATTCTTAACCTGAAGGTAGAGCCGCAGTCTTTGCCAGGGTGCCTCGGGGAGCTTCCCTCAGGCCACAAATCGCAACCCCCACCCCCTGCTAACACATGCATTTCGGGGTCCTCTCCCCCCGCACCCCATGTAAAGCACTGTGACTTTTAGGGCATCCTCACCTCCCATCCCTGGGTGTGGTCCAGGGGCAGCACCCCAGGGCACCGGTTAGGGATGAAAATTACGGCCCATCCTTCAAGTTCTGGGCAGACATCTGGGTCCCAACAAGCCCTCCAGGGATGCGTGACCCCGAGCGGCTGACCTTGAGAAGCGCTGACGTGCCCATCGTGTGGCAAACTCCTCAGTGTGAGGCCCTGTTACATGCTGCTCCTTCCAACCAGACCTTCTCTAAGTCTATCAGGGATCATTTTCCAGGGCTCTCGCCCCTCGTGAGCATTTACTTCCCTGCCCATCTCAGGTATGTCTCTCTAGGAAAACTGAAAGGAGGTGGTAAAACAAAAATATTCACCGTCTCAAAATGCTTGATTGCTGCTCTGCGCTCGGTACACACCTTGCAGCTTACCTCTGACTAGAAGGTGCCCACACATGATCCTGTAGCAGGTGAGCGGCCCCACCAGCGCTTGGGGTCCCTGCGCCGCTCAGTCCTGGGCATTGCAAGCACTTAGGAACAGCCCCCAGGTGGCAGCGCACTGCCCGGAAAACCAGAGCTGGACAGGGCGTGCCAGCGGGCTGCTCACGCGGAGCGGCGGCCGGCGGCCCCAGGCCCTGGCGTTCCCCCTGCAGAGGGAAGCTTGTCAGGTGAGCCAACGGCAGACATTACCAGAGCGATTTCTCCACAATTTTGGTCCTGAAAACCTCCTCCTGGTCCAGGTTCACGGTGCAGTAGCAATCTCGCATCTTGTTTGGCCCCGGGTACATGGGAAGGTTTTTGGCTTCACCTAAAAAGCAAATGTAAATAACACCATCAACTCGGCCCGGAATCACAGGCACATTTCCAAATAACGGCTTTCTTTCAGAGCAATGCACCTGCTTTCACTCTTGTACACTCAGCAGCTCTTTTATTTTTTTTAAGTTTATGTATTTATTTTGAGAAAGAGAGAGAGAGGGAGAGAGAGCAAGCAGGGGAGGGGCAGAGAGCAGGACACAGAGAACCCTAAGCAGGCCCCGAGCCATCAGCACAGAACCCAGCGTGGAGCTCTAACTCACAAACCGCTAGATCGTGATCTGAGCCAAAAGCAAGAGTTAACTGACTGAGCCCAGCAGGCGTCCCCCACTAGTTCTTTAACATCCTGGTTTTCTTGTCACCACAAGTCAAAATATAAAAGTGAATACTATTTGCATGACTAGAATGCAAGGGAACATGCACATTAACCTCCAAAACAGACTGACAAAGTAGGAATCCACTGGCCTCTGAATTGGGGTTATCAGTTTTGCTTTCTTCACACTAGCCCCCTTAATTTTATTTAATGTTTAAATGATAGTAAGATACATGTAAATTAAAATTATTCATCTTAACCACCTTTAAGCATGGAGCTCAGCCGTGTTAAATACATTTACACTGTTGGGCAACCAATCTCCATCACTTTTTCATCTTGCAAAAATTGAGCTCCGCACCCCTGTCCAGCCCTGACACCCACCCTCCCGCTCACTCCAGGTAATCCACAGAAGTGTGACCACTCAGCCTCCGCCCTGGTGACCGGCTGGCCTCACTCAGCACAGTGTCCTCAGGTGTCTCAAGTGTCAGGGTCTCCTTCCCTGTCAAGGCTGTTGATGGGTCACATTGTGCTTGTCTACTCATCCCCTGGGTCACTTTTTAGTCTGAATTTGACTTGACAGCATTTGACTTGACATGTCAAAGTTGGGGCAATAATTAAGGAGGACTCTTTTTTATTGACAAAACTGCAAACTCCATCCAGCTGTTTAAAATGCAGAGCGATTAGCCAGTTAGAAGTACATCCCAAGGGGGGGGCCTGCTGCGGGCTGTGGGCCGAGTGTCTCCCCCTCACGGCCCCTCCTTCACACGGAAGTGCGACTGGAGAGAGGGAGAGACACTCAGGCAGCAGCATGGCCAGCCAAAAATGCCAGACTCCTCACTGACCCTGGGTCCATCTAGAGGTCATCACGAGAAGCACAATCCAGAATCATCTGCTAGAAACTCACAGCGAGCATGAACGGCGGGACCAAACGGGCCGTTCGCTTACAAACTGAGAGCAGCAGATAGCTTGCAACCTGGACGCTGCTGCCCAGGCGACGTCTCCTCCGAGGAAGCAAAGCTGCACACACTGCTGCCTCGCGGCGGCCCGCCTGGCCTCCAAGCCTTCTGGGCACCTGCAGGCACCAGACTCAGTGCCAGGAAGACAGGGCAGGCCTGAGAGCCCAGCAGCGTGCCAACAGCCACCTGACGTGGCCAGCAACGCCTGTCACACCGCGTAGGACCGAACTGCTCGTTCTTGTCAAAATCGAAAAAAACACCAGAAACCAACCCCAACCCGGAGCACAGGTTCCTCTGAGCTCAGAGCCAAAGCCACCCAGCACACACCTCCCTCCACATAAGTCCAACGGAACCAGACATCATACTCACTTGGCGGAAATTAGCTCATTTAAAAGATGCCACTTCACAAATGGGTGTGCAAGGGCCCCCAGAGGGCAGAGATCAATCAACTCGATTTGTTGGAAGCTCTTCACTTTTCATTTAATGTCAGTGCAGAGTAGAACAGCAGGTGAGTAGAGGGCCCCGCCCTGGTGGGGTTTCCTGTGCCCGCACGTCCTATTTCTGACCAAAGCGTTCCTCGAGGATTTCTAAGAGCACCAGGTGTGACCTGTGTGGGTGGCCCCTTCCTGCACAACATGAGACCCACTTCCCCGAGCCTCAGTTTCACCAACTGTGAGAACATGAGAACACACTAGCTCTCAAGGCTCCTCCAACACTAAAACGCTTTTAATTTAAAAGATTCCAGAGGTTTTTCTTTTGGGAATCATCAATGGCTCTTCGTTGGTGAACAAAGAGAAATAACAGATGAATGTTTTCTTGTACGGCCACCTCAACACTACAAGGCTCCAGAGCACACCAGTTTTACATGAGTCGAGCCCATGAAAACACGGCCAATCGGGTAAAAGGCACATGAATCTGAGCCAAGCTTCAAGTCAGCCGTTAAATGTCAAAAAACAGATTTGTGAAGACTCCTGGCAGGTGTGAAAGGCCAGAAGAACGTGCATGCAGGGTGTGTGACCAATCCCGGCACCAAAGGCTACGGCGGCGTCTTCAGGAAGAGAAGGGGAGGTGGGGGGGTACAGGACCAGATGTACGGCTCCTTCCACTGAGGTGACCCAACAGCGCGGTCACATCACACACGTCAGGCCCCGAACAAGCCCTTTCAAAAGTCTTCGGGCTCTGGATCAGGAACTGATAGCTTTTGCCACATTCACAAATCTTTAGCCTCATAACCAGCCTGATTTTGTGGACCTCCCAGCTGACACCTTTATGATGTGAATTAGGCCATCTCATACTTCCCTTGGGAATTTCTTTTTGCAGTAAATGAGATACTTCAGCTGCAAGGTCCTGTGTTTCTTAGAAGAGAAACACGTCTGAAAGCCGCGTGGGAGATGATCGTTGGTGGAAAACAAAGAACTGGGATTTTGTTTCTGTTTATTCTCCAAAGAGCCTCAGAACACCGGCAATAGTAGCTGGCGCCCCTCTTCAAGGTGACTCAAGGTGAGTACTGTTGGGGCACAAGAGCAAGATGAGCCTTCCCTGGACAAGATGACACTTGACACTGAAAACTGAAAATGCCTGTGTGAACACAGACCTCCGCCCCCCCCCCCCCCCCCCCCCCCCCCCCCCCCGCCGCCGCTGGCCCCAGGCGGACGGTTACAGAAGCATCCTGGCCACCATGATGATGGCACCACCGAGCGCCCATGTGAACAGGCCACTCAGAGCAGCAGCGGCAAGAGCATCGGGCAGCACCACCGGCCACGTCCCCTGCCCAGGGTCCTTGCAGTTGGGGTAAAAAGGTGGAGAATGAGTAACCCCATGTCTCTGCTTGGAGCTGCAGAAGGGGGTGGAAGCCTCAGCTCTCGGGTGGCCCACCCCAGCCGCACAAGGGACAGGCGCCCCTTCTCCCACGCTGCCTGCTTGTCCCAGAGGCCGAGGCCACTGCCCCACCCGCCTGCGGATTGTGCTGCCTCCCTTCTCCTAGCACGTGGAGACATCTACCTAGGAAAGTAAAGTCCTCCCGGTATACAGTAGGTGCTGAATTATTAGTTGAGTGAACAGATAAATGACCACGAGGTAAAAGAGTTGCATTCTAAGAACCAAATTAGGATCATTTTCACACGACTCTTTCTCCTACTGACACGTCTGAAATGCATCCTCTGCACCGACAAGAATCGCATGCTGGCAGATTTGATGAAGGCCCTCTCTGAACACCTAGTCTACTAACAAAAATCAAAAGTATCCCTTCACACACAGCAACCTAAGTGACAGTGAAAGAGCAAACCCTGGTTCCCACACACGGGAACCAGGCACCGGCTACGTGAGCCACGGTGACCTGAAAGTGTCATCGTTCCCGAGCCACGGCAGGTAGCAGTCCCGAACCCTCAGCAGCCGAGCCTCTGGCTCAACCCAGAGAGAGGGAAGACCCACGTGTGGACGCCCACGCCTCGCTGCTGCTGGGGCGTTCAGCCCTGATAAAGAAGCCCCTGCCCAGTCTGGGAGGCCCGCTGGCCTCAAGGGTGCCAAGGAGCAAGGCCCTCTGCACCCTGAGAGTGGGTGTCGGAAGTCACCGACCCCAGCGCCCCCAGAGCGACTCTGGCGACAGAGGGGTCTGATCTTGCCTGCATTTCTGGCACCCGACACAGACGCCGCTGTGCCCTCAACACCCCAAGAAGACAAAGAGGAAGGAGGGAAGCGTGTGGTGGAAGGCTCCACTGACAACCCTCCTCTCCTCAGCTGAGAGCCTGGGTGTGCTCAGAGCCACCACATCCACACAGTGTTGATGGCCCCCAGCCCAGTGGCCTCCACCTGTGCAAGGGGAATGTCGTGGAAGAATTTAGGCAGATCTTCTGATCACTCTGGTTCAGGACACTTAAATGGGCCCACGGATTCTGGCAGCCAGAACCACATGGCGAATTATAACAACGTAAGTCTACTTCCCCAAAAAGATCAATTCCACGTTAAAAATATCTTACTTCCCTGAGTATGTATTTTTTTATTTATTTTTGAATACCTTGCTATTTTATCACTTGATATTAAATATAACAAAACTGCATAAAAACAGACAAAATTGGGGTTTCTAAATCAAGCACATGCCACCTCCCCCCTGCGTGCTGATTCTGTCTGAAAACCCCACGCTGAGTGGCCTGGACCCCACAGGGCACGACCCCACAACCACAGATGCCTGCTTCCTCTGCCTCCAGGAGGGTCATGGCCCAGAAAGGGGACCGACACACCTTTCAGATTGCCTCCAATAGCTAAGAGACAAGCATAAAATAAGCTATTAACATGAAAATTCAAAGTTCAAAATAGAATGAAAAAAGAAAAATTACACCTATTCCAGCGGCCCCTATCCCGCCATGTGTGACTCAGCAGTCAACTGAGCTCCGAGTTCCCTAGTAGCTAAGGCAAGAATGGAAAGAAGGCAGAACACACCCTTCCCAAACTTTCTTTGAAAATAAAGCACAGCACTCTCCCTCGGGAGCCACTGTCCCACAGCGACCCACTGCAGCCTCGCGCAGGAGCAGGAGGTGACGGACCCGGCCTGTCCTCTGTGCTCCTTTTACGAGAGGTCATGTCCGTCCGGCACAAGACACAAACTACACAAGTTAAGTTAGCATTGCTGTGAAGAGTCCCGGAGGACGAGGTAGTGTGACCAACGAGGCTCTGTTTTCCGTGCCCTGGCTCAAGGCCAGGCCTCCACGAGCTCACCTCGGACTCAGATGG